GGTTAAATTTAAATAAATTTCATTTAGAAAATAACCACAATAATGACTGAGCTTAAAAGTCTGTATATAAAAATCTGACCTACAATGGTTTGATTTCAGTTTTTTGTCTTTATGAGCAATATGCCTTCAATGAAAACCACTATTCAGGTTTTGAATTTCAATATCTTCCTGGAGAGCGATGCCATACAATACTCTTGAGATAGTGGATAGTGGCAGGGAGCCACACAATCATAAGGAGGAAGAACCAACACTTCGTAGTACAGTGTGTCACTAAGCTATGAAGTTCTGTAGGTTAAGTTGTGTTAAATACATTTTCAAGTTACAATATTTTCAACTTACTTATAGGAAGGAAACGGCTGTTTAGCTAATATACTAAAGACAAAAATGATTAAACTAAGCCTTTTAAAAATCATCACTATAGGGCTGGAGATTTAGCTCAGTGGTGCCACTGCCTGCCTCGCAAGCACAAGGTCCTGAGTTCGATTCTCCATGCCCCCCCAAAAAATCATCATTAAATGTTTACAGGATACACATCTGAAGCATAATATAATTCAGGAAAGTTGAAAGTAAAAGGATGGTGATTTAACACAAAAAACAAAGCAAAGAAAGGCAACAGCTACAGCAGTAACAGACAAAGTCAACTTTATAACAAAAAGTGTTGCTAGAGGTCAGGAGGGACATTATAAAAAGTTTTTAAAGCAAGTTTCAATTCATCAGGAAGGTATTGATTCTATATTTGTACACATCTCAATGTCTGCTCAAAATAATGCAAAAACTGACAGAACTATACGGAAGAGAGAAACCCACGATTATCTGTCTCAGTATTCAATAAGATGAGCTGGCTAAATACTTATTAAACAGGAAAAATATAGACATTCTGAGCCACACAATTAGCACTGTTGATGCAATGGACATATGTAGAACAGTGAATGCACAACTGCATTTCACATTCTTTTCAGGCACTGGCAAGCATTTATAAATATTGGCCATATGGGATCTTAACAAATGCAATAAATAGAATCATCAAAATATATTTGCAGTAGGCAGTGCAGTTAAGCTCAAAACAAATAAAAGGATAATTAGAGGCTAGGGGTGTCAGTAGTGATGTCCAGCAAAACACACACACACACACACACACACACACACACACAAAATTTAAAAACCTTCATATTTGGAAATCAAGAAATAGACTTCAAATGAGATGGGTGGGAACCAGGGCCCAGGGAGAAGATGGCCCTAGCTATCAGGAGACTCCAGTCTCGTTAATCCCTGACTTGGTCCCAACACCCCTCATTGCAATTATGAATTGAACAAGCTGAAAGAATTACCCTGGGAACAGTTCAAACATGAGACCAAAGGGTGGGCTCCAGGCCTTGCTGGCTTCATTGTCAATTCTGAGGCATGATCAAGGTTGGATCTAGAGTTGTCCAATATCTTCTAAGCACATTCTCTCCCAACTGTACCTTCCTCCCTGAGGGCAGTGACTGAGGCTCACTCAACTCCTCCACATGCTAAGCGCTGCCCGGTCCAGCCCACAAGCGCCAGAGCCTGGCAGCATTTTGGGGAACTACAAAAAAAGCCACACAAGGTAAGAAGCAGCAAGCCCTCCTCTGATAGAACCCAGGGGCTAGCAGGCATAGTCATGCTTGGGCCGTAGTTCTCCTCTGAATCAATTTTGGATCAACTGGAAATGAAAGCCCCAAGTTCAAGGCCAGAGATAGAAGGTGAGAGAGGAACCTATCAGAATCAAAGGAGAAAGAAACATCTTCAACATAAGAGATGCTGGCCACTCTAAGCCATGGAATTCTGCGTTTCAATCCTTCAGCACAGGAAACACACTGCCTTCATCTTTTCTTTTTGAGATGAAATTTTATCAGGGACACAGAGAAAACTGGAGCCACGGAGGTTGCTAGAATACCACTTTCTTGGACATCCCACTCCAGCTTCCACCATGTAGTTGACACAGACATGACTGGCCTAGACTTTTTCTTTTTCCCTGGTACTGGGGATTGAACCCAGAGCCCTTACACTGAACTATATTTGCTACCTATCCCACACCCTTTTATTTTTGGAGACCAGATCCCAGATCTCATTCAGTTCCTAACCTGTCCAGGCTGGACTCAAACCTGTGATCCTCTGGTGTCAGCCTCCCACAGTGCTGATTTACAGGCATCTGACCATACCTAGCAACTTTTGCAACTGAACACCTGTATCTCAAGCCTTAAGAGACCAAAAAAACAAACAAACAAAAAAAAAACTTAAGAAAGTCTTTGCAGACTATCTAGCTTTGAGAGGTTCAACTTCCTGGTACACCCTCCAAAGTAAACTTGGTGCCAGTTCTCCGAGAGGGTTACAGGGTGAGCTGACTGGCTCCCAGGCTCTCAACTGTAGACCTGCTACAAACAGCTAATACTGGCACTCTTCTAAGACCATGGCTTTGCAGCCCTTTCTTTCAAGACAAAGAGTCATTAGTATCATTCAAGTCCATGCCACTTTAGGGTGACAAAAGCACTTTCATCTATTGATAACAGAGTGCTTATCTCTTAATTGTCCCACTAACAGCTAATCTCAGACTCTCAAATCAAACAGCAATGGTAAAAAGAAAGGGGATCCCATCCTTCCCCTCTACATCCCCTCTCTAGCATCCCCTCTTGGTAGGACAGGGCAGGCTGCCATCAGCTTACAGTGAAGCACTGTTCAAGCCACGACTGCAGCCCTAGGTGCGGCACTGAGAATCTGGATATCTCTCTGGCCGGCATCACTTCAGAGGGACCTATTCGGCCCACACCAAACATTAAAGTGGACCCCATCCATCGTTTGCATTTAAACATTTGAAACCAAGTAACTTTGCTTGTGAAATAACTATTTACGCTGCCCAGCATTTGGCCCTTTCTGTTCCACTTCGCATTTTGGATCTGAGAACATTTCTGTCAGGTCTCAGACGTTCCAGAGGCCTTCAAAATTCTAGGTACTCATGTGGCACCAGTGGGAGCAGCAGTGGATAAATCGGTCTGGCCTACTGTGGGGTTTGCTGGGAAATGCTGAGAACAATGCCCATTCTTTTAAGCAGCGTTTTCTGTGCCATATGTTTTCTACAGAAGGCAGAGCTCCCGCTCACAGAGAAAATTCTTCTCCGGGCTTGGAACTGTCAGAGGACAAAATTGCACCAACTTAGTTTAAAGGCCTCGACTGGGTCTGTGTGTGACTCTAGAACCGGAACAATACCTCAGTCCCCAAAACAGAGTAAGTATCCATTGGGAAGAGTTGGTTTTAGAAACAGCACAGGGCTGAAGGGATCAGAAACAGCACAGAACAATCATTTCAAAGTCTGCTTCCTTGTGAAGCATGGACAGGGAGATAGAACTACTGAAAAATAACCCATGAGAGAACATCAGATTACCTTTTTTTTGTTTTGTTTTGTTTTTTGGTTTTGGTTTTTTGAGACAGGGTCTCACTATGTACTTGAGATTGACCTGGAACTATGTAGCCCAAGCTGGTCTTGAACTCACAGTGATCCTCCTGCCTCAGCTTCCAGCGTGCTGGGATTGCATGCATGCACCACCACACCCGGCTATCAGATTACTTTTTTAAAAATTTAATTTAATTTATTGGTACATTCTAGGTAGACAGTACAGCTGCATTCATTACTGGGATCTTGTACCTTTACATGCCAGGTCTTGGTTCTCATTTTTTCCCCTTGTTCCCACCCTCCCTTCACCCTCCCCTCCCATCTCCCCCTTCAAACACTTTAATTCCATTTTTACATTTTCTCATATTTTTTTCCTTTTCCCTTATTCCCCCTTCCCTAACCTTCTACTTTTTTTTTTTTTTTTTTAACAGGGACTCAAACTTGGGTCCTTGAGCTTGCAAGGTAGGGACTGAGCTAAATCCCCAGCCCAAGATTACTTTTTTGATGAGGATTAAAGCAGAGGGAATGGTTATCCTGTGGACTGAAACTGGCCTGTCTTGGAAATCTGGTGTATCTCTCTCCCGATATCCTGAAGGGCAGACACACAGCTTAGCTTCCAGTGGGTGACACCATTTTGATTTTCAGTCTGGTCTATTGGGACTTACAGCAGGACCTGGCCCAAAGCATTGGCCTCCTCTAACATTTAATTTAACAGTATCAAGAGCTGTGGTTCTGGGTGTGGTGTCACATATCTATAATCCCGGCTACTAGGGAGGCTGAAGGAGGAATATTGCAAGTTTGAGGCCAGCCTGGGCAACTTAGCAAGACCTTGTCTTAAAATGAGAAAAACAAAAAATTTTTAAGGGCTGGGGATGTATCTCTGTGCTGCCTGACTGTAGTCTCCACTACATACACACCTACACACACACACACACACACACACCACACACAGCAGTGGTTCTGCTATTTTCATCTTTTGAGCATAAGAATCACCTGTCTGAATGTGTTACCTCTTCACACTGGCCAGCAGAAAGCTTAGGAAATATGCCTGACGTCTTGTGCCCTACCTCTGTTTACAGATCCACTTTTATTTCCTTTCCTACATTTCCCTTTGACTCATCTCTTCTCATTTAAATTCATTTTATCTACCTCAATTAATAGTAGGTAAGCTTCCTAAAAACCTTTACAGACTAAGGATGGATATAAACCAATCAATACATAAGCACCACTATTACTCCCTAAAACCACCATTCTCCCATGTGCCTGGTGTCTCATGTTTATAGCAATGATGGTTAACATTTACTAAGTACTTAGCATCTATGCTAAGTACTTCACATGGAGTGTTCACTAAGTCATCAAGACAATTCCCAAGATAGGGACTGCAGTTCTAGCACTTTTTAGGTAAGGGCTTGTTGCACTAAGTAACAAACCCAGAACCACCTAGCCAAGAAGAGACAGGGCTAGAAGTTGAACCTAGGCAGGTCCCAAGGCCACCCTAGACACCCTGACCCCTTCCTAGATGCCTTTGCATGGATTCCCTCCTGAAACTGGCCTCCTAGACAACTGCTGACTCTTATCCCCTCTTTTCTACCTTCAGTCTAGCTTCTTGTTCCTGGGCCCTGGAGATGTTTGACAGAGCTTTTGCAATTGCTTCTTGGATGGTCTCCTGCACGTAGGCCAGTCTTCCTTATTCCTGAAACACAGATGTGTCCATATCTGCAAGTGGATTATACACATTGCCCCAAACAAAAGATAAGCCCAGTCTCCTTTTTCTGGCACTCAGGACTATTTAAAATATATTTTTTGGGCCGGGATTTAGCTCAGTGGTTCAGTGGCCTGCCTTGCAAGCGCAA